GAGGACCCTCACCTGAGCACCCTGGTACCCTGATCTCAGACCTCCAGCCTCTAGAGCTGTGAGAAGTAAATCCCTGATGTTTGTAAGCTACCCCGTCTGTGATATTTCCTTATAGCAGCTAAATGGACTAAGACACCCCATTTCCAGGTGAGGAGATGGGGGCTCAGAGAAGTTAAGTGACTGGCCGGATGTCACACAGCTAGTAAATAGTGGGGCCAGGGCCAATTATTGGTTTTTCTGGCTTCAACATCTGTTCAATGGGCACATGCCGGTGGGTCACGAAGCCAGTTAGCACTCCCTGCTAGGGCTCCCTGCAGCTGCTGGTTGCAGCCTTGGACCCTCTAAAACTGGAGTCGGCAAACTGTAGTCCACAGGCCACACTGGGCTAGTGGTCTATTTTGGTGCTGCCGGTGAATATGTCTTCCTTTCTTTCTTCCTTTCTTTCTTCCTTCCTTCCTCCTTCCTTCCTTCCTTCCTTCCTTCCTTCCTTCCTTCCTTCCTTCCTTCCTTCCTTCCTTTATTTCTTCCATTTTTAGTGGAGGTACTGGGATTGAACCCAGGACCTCCTGCACGCTAAGCATGCACTCTACCACTGAGCTATACCCTCCCCTCTTGGTACTGCCCATGAATGTGGAATGGGTCTTACATTTTTTAAGGGCTGTGAAATTAAAAAGGAATATGCAGAAAAGACTGTATATGGCCTGCAAAGTCTAGAGATATTTACTAACTTACCCTTTACGAAAAAATGTGCCCTCCTGCTAATGTAAAGTTTCTCAGGAGCATCTCCTTTGGAGATAGCCTGGAGGGTAATTACACATGGCCCTGGGAGGCCACTCACCTCGGCCTGCCTAGAGGGGCCACGATGCTGGAAGGCCCTGGACCAGGCTGATGGTCTGAGTGCGGAGGCTGGTCCCTAGGTCCAGCTCAGGGCCGGGCTTGACACGGCTCACAGAGATCTCGGTAATATGGACCTTCTCAACCTGCAACCTCAAAGACCCTCGGAGACCCTCTGTTTAATCCTCACAGTGTGCAGAGGGGAGACGAGGCCCAGGGAGGCAGAAGGACTTGCTCAGGGTGGATGTGCAGATTCCCAGCACAGGGCTCTTTCCCCTACTGTCCCTGTCTCATTTTGGAAGGCTGCCCACCTTGCTCAACCCAGTCCTGCAGGTCTGCTCCCGGGCTTGTTCGTTCCTTCAGTTGGCGTTAATGAAAGGCTGATAGCCAGGCTCGCCAGCGCTGCAGTGCGGGGGTCGAGGTCCTAAGGCAGCGAGAGGGGAGGTAGGTCTGCACAGAAGAGGTGGTTGGTGGTCACAGGCTCTGGGGTGCCACACTGGGTGGCAGTGCTTGGGGGAGGGGACGTGCTTCTAGCAGAGGGAACAGAGATCATGGCCTTGGCTGCGTCAGAGAGGAGGCTGCATGCTTAGAATGGCACCTCTGCCCTGGGGTTGGCCGTGGAGCCGTGGGAAGAAGCAAGGCTGGAAACAGGGTCAGGCTCGGGGCTTAGGGGCCTGTCAGAAGATGATGCTGTGACAGGATGATGGCCAGCTGGATTTGGGTTTAGAAAGCCCCCCTCTGGCTGCTGCCTGGCGGAGGGAAGGGAGGAGGCCCAGAAGCTTATTGGACACAGAGGGAAGTCCATGAGCTTTCAGTGAGGGATCCTAAGGAGGGATAACTTCCTGGTCCTTAAATCAGTCGTGAGCGAGCTTTTCTTGAGCTGATCAGTTGCTTTTAAACTTGTGTAAGGAAACAGGCTCTCCTTTCCGCTGGCCATTAGCAGGCTTAGAGCAGGATTCTCAGCCAGGTCCGTGGACTGACAGGGAGCTACAGATAGAATTTAGGGGCCCATGAATTTGGATTGAAAACCTACTGTATTCTTATTGCTACTGACCTCTAACTGATGGTAATTTCTTCCATGATGCAGGAGGCAAAACCAAGACAAAGCCCACTCTGCCATTGGCCGTGGCTGTAACTTTGTCACAGGTATTTTTATGTTGCCTCGACATGTAGTTTATGCCCATCACTATTTCAAAATTCTGATAGCTGTTAGACCTATTGTTATAGGTGCTAATAAGAAAGTGTGTGTCTTATTAACTCAATTTTTAGTATTTTGATAACTAGGCTTTAATATGCTTGGTTTCCTTTGTAATTCTTGCGTTTTATTCTCAGCCTTTAAAGCCTTCATTCCAAAAAGGGGTCCGTGGTGAAACCACTCCCTGCCTTACATCCCCGACCCTGGCTCGCCGCTCACCCACCTGCCGCCCACCTGCCGCTCACCCACC